TACTTGTAATGTTTTGGGCTTATCTTAAATATAAAACTTAATTTTTGAATGGACTTGTTAAATTTGGAGGCTACAACAAATATTTTACTGGGCTGTGTCCAAGGCCGGCCTGATACTTGCCTCCAAAATTTATGACAAGGCACCAAGTTTGTGGATGACTATGCACAAAACAAAAGACCAGATAGTGTATCGTTTTATCGGTGGCATTCGACATCAAATTCAAAACTTGTTGCTTCAGTTTGATCTCGCAATAGTGATGTAAGCACACTAACCACTGAATCAGAGATTATACCAAACCGCATGACATCATACCGGCAGGATTCCAAATCATAAGTACGTGGATTGACATTCACATTTTCTCTTGCTTATTTATGGTATTGTTTTAAGTTGTCAAATAAGAGACTTGGTCCTCTTGTTATTTAGGAACCAGTCTCCACATTTCCCATTCTTCCAAATATTGTTGGAATCATTTGTGATTTTAAAAACTTGTTATCTTTGTATATGCTTATATAAATCAATGAAAAACAACAAAAAGAGATAGTCTTAACTACCCAAAAATATCGATCTTAGTTTGTTCATTAAACAAATTCTCTTTTGCTTTGAAATGGACCACTATTTTGTATAAAAGCACATTTCTTATCTACAAACACTTTCACCAGTCGATTTAAACGCAAATGCAAATGGCAGCACATCTTGACTCCGGTCATGTATGTTGAGCCGATGCAGTGGCGGAGCCAAAATAATATATTATGGGGTCATATATTAATATAATTAGATAATAATTTTAATTTATTTATTTTAATAATATTATTGTGAAATAAATTTTAGTATTTTAGATACTATTTTTTGGTCTTTATAGATGAATTACATATAGTTAAGAACAATATCATTATTGTAACACAAAACCTAATTTATAAAGAAGATATTTATTATTGAAAAACATAAAAGATTAAAGAGAGAAAAAAAAAATTATTAAAGAAAAATAGAAAAAGGGTCAAAGGGGTCCTTGAACTTGAGACATGGGGGTCAAATTACCAAAATCAAACCAAATTTACCATTACATAATATCTATATAGGCTTGCAAATCAAATTTTATAAATGTTATGGGGCAAGAATCTCATACACGGTTGATAGAGGTGGTGAGCAATTGCGATGTCGAAGGATCAGCGGCCTCACGAGGAAGTCGAATAACAGAGGGGAACCAACATCATTGGCATGGATATCACAAAGATCATGTCAATCCGTTCGGTACGGTGGTAGCCACACATAATGGCGGACTCAGAAAATATTTTTACCAGGGTCATAATTTAAAACAAATATTCTTTAATTACTTAAAATATAGAGAAAATTAGAAATAAAAGATAAATAATTAAACTATTGTTCATCTATGCATTCTATATTTATTATTGGTTATATATACTTTAATATTGGTCATATATGCTTTCATATAATTAAAATCCTAATATGCCCCCAGTCTTTTAAAATCTTACTAAACTATAAAAATAATTCAAAATTAATTTGATTTCTTTCTAAAAATAATTTAGAAAAAATATAGGACAAACTCAACATTTATTAACATTCTATTAGTTGTTTTATCGTCGATACTTTCATATCTTCTTCTTCTTTGATTCTCTTGCTCATCAAAGTTAAGCTTTCGTAATTGTTTTCTCCTCTTTAATAACGTCATATTAAATAATTTTTTTTTTTCTTCTTCTTATTCAATCTCTCTCTCTATCTCTCTCACTTTGATTTTAATTTCGTAATGGAGTGCAACTGTAATTTTTCGGGTTTTGAAACAAGAATGTACTTTCTAATTTTTATAGAATATAAGAAAAATCTTAAGAATATGTTTTCTAGCATTCTTAGAACAAAGTGTAGAACGAGGAACAAAGTGTAGAATATGTATTCTAAAATTCGTAGAAACTAGTATTCTAAATACTGTAGAACAAAAATGACTTCTAAATTTTGTAGAACATGTAGAGTTTGTAAAATACATAATCTAAATTTTGTAGAACATGTAGAATGTATAGAATATACATTCTAATTTCAGAAGACATATTCTAAACTCTATAGATCAAATTTTATCCATCTAAAACGTCAAGAAAACGACATATTTTTGACATTTTATATCCTCATGTCTTCTTCATCATTTTAATACAAAATTTTCTTAATTGTTTTTGAAACAATTGGTTCAATCTTATGCAAGGGATACTTTAGGAATAGTTGATATTTGTTCATAGAATTCATATATGGACAAATACTTAAATATTTATCCTTTATTTCCAATTTTCCTAATATAATACTAAATATTACATAAAATATTGGAGATTAACATGTTTTAAGTTTCATTAAAAACAATTAGCTATTACAAATTAACATGTTGTTTTAAACTTTTTAAAAGGAAACCATACTAAAATTTGTTGTATTTTGCAATAAAATGTTTAAAAGATACATTTAATTGTTATCATATAAGAAAAAAAAGAAAGGAAACGATACATGGTAACTAATGTTTACATACAAATAAGGAAATTAAAAGAAAATATAAAATTTTAAAGAAAAAGGAAAAAGACACATCATTTATGTCAAATAAAAGAGGAAAAAATGAAAATAATGTAGGTAAAAGGGGTCATTTGATGACATTAAAAACCATTTGAGCTGCTCTAATAAACTTAAGAGCATCAGCAACGGCAGTTCTTTAATTTCAGTTTCTAAACTCAAGTGTGAACACAAATCTAAGTGTGAACACAAAAATAATAAATATTTAAGAGAATATATACAAAATAGCCTTTGACTTGAAAAGAATTAAGAAACTAACTATGGGCTACATGAACTTGTCAGAGAGGTAGAGCAAATGACATCTTTAACCTTTATTCACTCTTTCTCTCTCTTTCGCTTATCTCCTTCTCTCCACCATTGTTAAACCTCAAATTTAATTTTCCTCATCATCAACATCACGCATCAACATCACGCTCAACTCCACCACAGACACCACAATCCTTGTTTTCTTTGACATTGCAACAGATCTCTAGAAAAATTCACTAATTTTGTAGGTTGTTTATAATTCTCAATTTTCCTCCATCTCTGTTGATCTCATGCGTTATATGTCTCCTTCCACCGTCGCATATCTCATTCGCTTCCATATTCTCTTACTTCTCTCTGATTTTAATATTCTCCGTAGCCCATCGTCATATGTTCTACAATTACCACACAAATCCTTTGACCCATACATCGTTTTTTTAGATCCAAATCTGTATTGAAAGTACAAGTAGTATTTTTGAAAATCGTGCTATTAAAAGAAATATCTATATATTTATCAATATCTCATGGTATTCAAAAGAATTACATGTATTTTTACTTAATTACATGTAATTTTCATGTTATTCAACGGAATACATATATTTTTCTTTTAGATACGTGTTATTTTTACTTAAATCGTGCTATTTTTAGAATTTTCATATTCTTTTTTCATAATTTTCACCACCAAAGGTCTTGTCTTTTCCATCATCATCTCCTCTGTAACCACCACCATCGTAAATCTATATTGAGAAATGCAAATAGTATTTTTAAAAATCATGCTATTAAAACAAATATCTATATACTTATCAACATTTCATGATATTCAACAGAGTCACATGTATTTTTACTTCAGTACATGTAATTTTCATGTTATTAAACATAATGCATATATTTTTATTTTAGATACGTGTTATGTTTACTTAAACCGTACTATTTTTAAAATTTTCATGTTTTTTTTTCCTTGATCTACCACTAGAGGTCTTATCTTCTTCATCATCACCTCCTATGTAACCACCACCATCGTATCAACCCCAACCACCACCGCCTTTACCAGATTTGTAACTTTCAATTCTTCATTCGCATTTACTACGGCCACCTCCTGATATGATCATGGAAAGCACAAAGGACATGGAACGTGATAAAGAGCTTGTAGCCGAGGAGGAGCTTGAAGCAGAGGAGCCGCTTGAACCTGAGGAGTATTTTGAACCAGAAAGTGAGCTCGTACCGGAGAAAGAGTATGGAAAAGATGTTATCTTAACCTCACTGGTTTTGATAAATGATCATCAAATGGGCATGTGTCTCATTTGTACTCTTTTTCCCTTGTCAAGTTTTGTCCCAATGGGTTTTCTTGACAAGGTTTTTAATGAGGCAAATGATTCACATTCAAATCACCCATTTGTTGATCCAGCCCTTGGAATAACATTCAGAAGTCTACCCCATGGAATATATATGGAGTCCAGCCCATTTTATGGTCATTACAAGCCCAAGAAGAGTCCAAACCAAGTTCTTAATTTGCTGGTCAAGAGGAGTGACGAAAATAGGAGTTCAAGAGTCATCTTTGAAGCCAAAGGGTCTTTTCTATTCAAATTCTATCTTTAATATTTTGTTAAGTTTCTAGACAGCCTTGGAGCTTGTTCCAAGACTTGTCTCTTTACATTCTCTTCTCTTCTTCTCCTTCTCTATATATTCTCTTGTAATCTCTTATGAGAACCTATCTTTCTTTTTTATCAAAAACCTTTTCTAAGAAGATCATCTTGTTGGTGTGTATATCCAGCAAAACCCTTAGTATCTTTTGGTGCGCATATCCAAAGGATCTAAGTTTCGGTATCGTGAAGCTCTTCCGCAAGCTTCTGTGATATCCATCGATTCATTCTCTCGTCTTTGAGTCGTGTGTCGTCTCTAGATCGAGATCATCTATCCATCATCACGGCTTCAGAGCCACTTCTATCCCTTGCTCAACTTTAGAGTGCCGAGTCCTCGGGAGGATCGTGTCAAGTGGTATCAGAGCACACTCTGAAAGTTGAGTATTCTATCTTGTCTGTTCATCTTCTTATTCCGTCTGTCATCTTGTTTTAATTTTCATAAATAATTGGTATTTGCTAAAATCGCGAAATCAACTGTCACGGGTTAGAAATTGAGTCTAGTATTTTGTAAAATTGTTTCTGGAATTTTCCTGCACGAGTTGATAATTTTTAGCATCCGAACAAGTCAAACTGTCGTGATTAGGGTTCTAGGAGAATTTTGTGGTATTTGAAGAGTCATTTCGTGTTTGTTTCAAAAAGAACTAGTTACTGGTGTTGTTTTGTTGTTTCTATTGCAGAAAGGATGGCTGAAACCAATGAGGAAGAGAGTAGCTACAATCGGAACAACAAACTTTTGACTGAAGCTATGAAGAAAATGATGAACACCGAATTGGAAGCTTTTCGCCAAGAGTTTCATCAGAATTTAAGATCTCCAAGGAGAAGCCAAGAGAGGCATGAGCAAATCACATATCAAAAAGAGGCAAAACCAAGGAGACCCCAGGAGAAACCTAATTGGAGAAGCAGATCAACCCAAGATCAAGCAAATAGTTACTACTACAATCGTGGTGATCAAAGACGTGTTGAGAAAGCTACCCCGCAACATAATGATGTGAAAAATTTAAGGCCGTGAAGAAAAGCCAAAAGGAAAGTCTAGCCTTAGCAAAAGAACAGTTCGAGGATGAACTTCTGAAGATTCTCAACGCTTACAATAAACCCAAGAAAGCTAAGTCAACATCTCAACCAAAGATGGTCACTGACGAAGTTGTAGTTCACAAGCAAAACCAAAAGGAAAGTCTAGCCTTAGCTAAAGAACAGTTCGAGGATGAGCTTCTGAAGATTTTCAACGCTTACAACAAACCTAAGAAAGCTAAGTGTGTTCTTCCTTCTAATTCAGAAAAAGCTAAGTTTGCTCTTCCTTCTAAATTTGTGAAAGATACGTGTGATCTTTCTGAGAAACCTGATTTTGTGCTTGAAAATGATCAACCTTGTGACAAACTAATCCTTTCCAAGCCAGTGCAACCGAGTAGTAATTTTTGTTTTTCACAGGTTATGGAAGAAGAATCTCAGGTGCTTGAAAATGATCAACCTTGTGACAAACTAATCCTTTCCAAGCCGGTGCAACCGAGTAGTACTTTTTGTTTTTCACAGGTTATGGAAGAAGAATCTCAGGTAGAAGTTCAAAGGAGTTTGCCATCGGTTGTTACTAATTTGGAGCAGCAAACTATCTTTGTTCCTGAACCAATCCTTGAGTCAAATGAGCATTATCAAAAGCACTGTAAGGAAGTTGATTTGGTTACAAAAAAGCTTAATGTGTTTGTTTTGATTTCTGCTCAAGATGAAAAACAATTTGGTTTGGAAAATGTGAAAGAATTTCGTGTTTCAAAATCTGTTTTTGACAAAATGATTCCAATTTTTGATACACTCACACTTGAAAAGCTCTTTAAGCCAAGATGTTTTCTGTTTGATGAGTTTCGTGAATTTAACTCGTCTTTGAGAATTTCTTTGTGTAGCAAAGCATTTGAGCTGTTTAGAATAAAAACCGAAAATGCATTGGTTAAAACTTTTTATGAGTTGCAAGAATCAAATTCGTTCAATGAGCTTTGCAAACCAACCTTGAAGGATTGTGTTTTTGGATTCTCTATTTCAAGTATAATGCATTTGTTCTGACCCATGAGTGCTGAAAAAGGAACACGAGCTATGGAGAAGAATAACTACATAGGAGAAGTGACATCAAGAAAAGGCACGTTCAAGGTTCCACTCCATATCCATGACGACTTGAGGAAAGCTGAAGGTGCACTAGACATAATGGCAATCAAAGAAAAGCCGCCGGATTTGCAGCAGCCTCAATCCCTTTACAAAGAACCCAAACAAGGAACCATGAGTGGAATTGGAGAATTAACTCAAGCTGAAGCAGTTCTGGTCCACAATCAATTATCTAAAGCTGAATACAATAGTGTAATCAAGGAGAAACCACCAGATGCTACACCACAAATTAAAACCCGAGATTGCACAATTTTGAGGCCAACCAAGAAGACTAATGATCGAGAGATAAGCACTCATCATTGGAATCAATCAAGAGATCTTCGTGAAGATTGTCAAGATCAATTTTCGCCAAAGTACACAAAAGAACGCATAGGCAAGCAATCAAATTTGTTTGTGAGGGCTAGTAAGGATTATGAAGACATGTTCTCGGAGGATAAACCTATAGGACTACCATCCATCCATGATGATTCTCAAAGCCACATTTGGAGACCAGGAGATTATCTAGGACGTTCAAGTCCTACACCTCACGAGATTTTGGTCATTTTACTTCACATGTTTCACGAGGAGCCTAAAATGGATCTTTCTTCATTGGATTCATTCCATACCTATCAATGGCGACCAGGAGAGTTTTTAGATACCTCTAGTGAGGAGGAGTTGGTCACCACCAATGCCTTGATCCAAGAAGAACCCCCGGATCCAACACCACTTTCATTAATCGTGATGATACCAAGCACCAAACACACTGCGAACCTTATTCAGGTAAATAACTCTTTCACTCGCTTGGTTTCTCATATTACAAGAACTGTTATTATGAGTTTATCAAATCTAGGAAACATCGAGAAAGAGTTAGATTTATTTAAAGAATATTTGGAACCAAACTCATGTCTTAGAACGCAAATAAAACATGAACATTTCAAAGATAATGCATTGATAAAAGCTGAGACATGTTTACTTGGTTATAGTGACTCCATGACTGTGATAACACACTTGCTCTTTGCAAAAGCTGTTGACAATATTTCAGGTACAAAAGAGGAGCCACCAGACTTAGAAGTTCTCTTGTCCAATCTCTATGAGAGGACGGGAATTGGAGTTGTTTTAATGCCAAGGATCGATTCTCCATCCGACCTAACAAGAAGAACAATCGACAATGCTTATGAACTTGAGCTGCAAGGTAAGTGTAATGTGAGTCCTAGCTTTAATGTTTCTGACTTGGTGCCGTATATTGTAGATCAAACGGATTTGAGGTCAAATCCTTTTCAAGAGGGAGGGGATGATATGATCATGGAAAGCACAAAGGACATGGAACGTGATAAAGAGCTTGTAGCCGAGGAGGAGCTTGAAGCAGAGGAGCCGCTTGAACCTGAGGAGTATTTTGAACCAGAAAGTGAGCTCGTACCGGAGAAAGAGTATGGAAAAGATGTTATCTTAACCTCACTGGTTTTAATAAATGATCATCAAATGGGCATGTGTCTCATTTGTACTCTTTTTCCCTTGTCAAGTTTTGTCCCAATGGGTTTTCTTGACAAGGTTTTTAATGAGGCAAATGATTCACATTCAAATCACCCATTTGTTGATTCAGCCCTTGGAATAACATTCAGAAGTCTACCCCATGGAATATATATGGAGTCCAGCCCATTTTATGGCCATTACAAGCCCAAGAAGAGTCCAAACCAAGTTCTTAATTTGCTGGTCAAGAGGAGTGACGAAAATAGGAGTTCAAGAGTCATCTTTGAAGCCAAAGGGTCTTTTCTATTCAAATTCTATCTTTAATATTTTGTTAAGTTTCTAGACAGCCTTGGAGCTTGTTCCAAGACTTGTCTCTCTATATTCTCTTCTCTTCTTCTCCTTCTCTATATATTCTCTTGTAATCTCTTATGAGAACCTATCTTTCTTTTTTATCAAAAACCTTTTCTAAGAAGATCATCTTGTTGGTGTGTATATCCAGCAAAACCCTTAGTATCTTTTGGTGCGCATATCCAAAGGATCTAAGTTTCGGTATCGTGAAGCTCTTCCGCAAGCTTCTGTGATATCCATCGATCCATTCTCTCGTCTTTGAGTCGTGTGTCGTCTCTAGATCGAGATCATCTATCCATCATCACGGCTTCACAGCCACTTCTATCCCTTGCTCAACTTTAGAGTGCCGAGTCCTCGGGAGGATCGTGTCACCTCCGTAACCACCATCGTTACCTTCACCCGTATCACTTCCATCATCGAATCTATTTTTTCTCTCCGAATCTTCCGCCACCACCGCTTCCTCTGAAATTACCATCACCTCCTCCATAACCATATTCATTATGGTGACCAAGACCACCGTACCACTTCTATGACCGGATCTATTTTTTCTTCACTGAATCTCTACCACCACTTACAAACAAATATATCATCTCGTAATAACTATACTTTCAAAAGGTTAATTGGTCTTTTCTCCACCCCTACCCCACCACAAAAAGAGTCATTTACCCAACATTTCTGACACATGGTTAGTTTCTTAATACTTTTCCAGTCAAAGGCTATTTTCTAATAATCCCCAAAATTTAATTGAAAGTATTTTAAGTAGACCAATGATTGAATGACAACTGTGAGAAACGTTTGTGATGGGTTTCTCTTGGGTTTCTCTTATAATAAACGTTTAACTACCTCTCTCCTCTCTTTCATATTGTTTTCTTTATTTTATTGGTGAGAGATGGTGTGAGAAACCATCGTTGTTGTTGCTCTAACAAACCTACAAATATAATTGTTACTATTTTAGGGGTCAGCTGACCCCTTCCTCTCTCTCCATGTGGGTCTGCCCCTGGCCACACACATTTCTGAACTGATACGTCAATTAAAGCTTGAATTTTCGCGCTTACAAGGATGTGATCAAACCGAGTGAGTGAGAAAAGTGAACCAATACTTCAATTACAAGGATATACGGTCGGACAAGCTCGTGAGTTTTACTCCTGACGGTGTAGCCAACGATCGCATTCCAATCACGTGGGAAGTTTACGAAAGAGAGTTTTGGGCGAGATTTGGACCTCATGATAACATTGATGGAGATCCATCAAAAGGGTCGTTGAATGACTACCCAAAGGCAGTGCCGGCTCAAATAGGGAGCGAGCGGTGCGACGGCCAGGGGTCCATTCCCGTGCTCCAATAATTAAGGGTGATCACTTTGAGAAGCTACAAAGTAATGCACGGGTGATCACAAGAAGTTTTGGTGGGTGCTTTAATGGGGGTATCTATCATTCCATTTCCGATGGGATCATGATGTTCTAACCTAAAACATTAAGGAATGTTATTATCTATGAAAAATGAAGGATGGACAGCTATAACAACAAAGAAAGGACAACCGCAAATTGACAATGTTTCCAAAACTCAAACACAGAAGGTTCTGTTGTGGTAACAGTGATGCGTATTGGGCAGGCACAAACTCAAACACAAAAGAAGCTTAGCTGGGAGGAGTTGAAACGAAAATGAAGTTTGGGTCTCTTCTTTAGTTTCAACGAACGTTACTGTCCTGGCAATGAATGTTGAAAATCGCTGCTACTACCCATGGTAAAGGATGATGCTGAACAGGAAGACGAAAAGGAGAATTTTATTGAGCATGCTGAACCGGAGATTACGTTGCAAGAACTCTGTGGTTAGGATGTGGCACAAACGATGCGGGTTCACACGGTAGTTAATCGACAACAGTTGGTGGCATTGACCAAGAGCGGCTCCACATATAATTTCATAAGTGAATAGACAGATAATCGTCTCAATTTGAAGCACACGACCGTGAAACCGTTCAACGTGATAGTGGCTGATAGTGATCCACCCTCATGTCGAGGCTCATACCCAAAAGTTGCCATGAACCTGAGTGGTGCATCATTCCTCATCGACTTTTTTCTGGCTATTACAAGGGTTAGATGTTGTGCTCGACGTGCAATGATTAAAGTTTCTAGGCCCACACAATGGAGTTTTATTGGATGGGCCAGAAGAGAGTTTTTCATGGTCTTTAACACAAACAGATCAACCAAACCCAATAGAAAGGAGATCACTAAAGAAGCAAGAATGGCCTGATTTTCGACTTAGCAAGAAAGCAAGTGCAGGAGATGGTGATTTGAGATTAATTCGACGAATTAGCTCATGCCCTTTCTTGTCATTGATCCTACTAGTCCAGAAAAATGATGTGTGTGGAGGATTTTCACGGTTTATTGGCCTCTAAACGCGGCAACAATTAAAGACAGATTTCCTATTCATACGGTAGAAGACATGTTTGGCGAATTACACAGAGCTACCGTCTTCACCAAGCTGGACTTAAAAGCTGGATATCACAAGCTTCAAGTTCATCCTCTCGACATTCCATGATAGTCTTTTGTACTCACAATATATATTATGATGCTATTAGGGTTATGCAACGTGCCTTCCAATTTCCAGTCTTTGAGGAATTTTATTTTTTGCCACCACCACCGCAAATTCATTCTTGTTTCCTTCGATAATATACTTGTGTATATTCATTCAAGGGAGAATTCTATAGGAGCAAAATTTATTTGTGCAGATGAAGAAAGTGTGAATTTGCTAAAAGTGAACTTTAGTATCTCGGTTACATTATCTCAAAAGGAGTAAAAGACTATCAAGAAACAATCTAGGCGATGTTTGACTTGCGAGCACCAACCACGATCACAAAGTTGCGAGGATTTATCTGGTTCACTAGATATTATCATAAGTTTATTAAGGATTATGATCTGATTACGAAATCACTCACCAACCTGTTGAAGAAAGGGAAATTTGAGTGGCATCCGACAAGTAAGGTAGCATTTTCACAAATAAATCGGCACTGACCACGACCCCTATTCTAGCCATGCCAGAATTCAATTCTTCATTTTGTAACACCCGTCCCGCCTTATAGGCCAAGACAACGTGTTATTCATCTGGTTCCGCCA